TCTAACATTTTGAATTGGAAAAAAAAGTAAAAACTAAGGAAAACCTTGGGAAGTAACAGTTAAAGAATTAACTGCACAAGGAAACGAAATTTATTCCTCATTTTTCATTACCTTTAATATTCATATAATTTAAGTCGTAAATACCGTTACAGAGCTGCCATTTGTTGGTTAAAAGCTCGTAGAATACCGACATTTATAACATTTCCAACACAATGAGGATTATAAATTGTTTCTGGTTTTGTTTCTACTGTAAACCGACTTTAGAAATTGAATGTTATTGTATGTCGAGAAACTCAAACACCGTGCTTTGCAAGCGATATCTGCTTCATAACAAATTATTAATTCGTTTGAATAACAAACAAGCTAGTTTTCTGATATACGCAAAACACACAAAGCTGGGCTTAAGTAGCGTTATTCCACGACTTATGAATAAACAGAAAAAAAATACCACGGTAAAGTGGGTATAAATAAGCTTAAGCGTGTTGCTTTTGCCTAGCCAAGATGAACAATAACTGAAAACTGTTTATAAACAGACACACGGAAAATTTTGTACTTAACATTTTTTTTGTTAAAAACCCGTTCATGAAAAAAATGAATACTGTTTAAAATCAAAAGTGTACTAAACTTTGATGAACACACTGTATGTAACGTTAATAATGCTATTAGAAGACCTGATAATACCATATAAAGTATGCATTTGCATACATGAATACACATAAGCTCGACTAAAAACGTGATATGATAAGTGGCCCTTCAATTCTCGCAAATATGCTGGAAAAACTAAAATTGTTAACGTCACGAACCTTTAATCTACTCTTTATACTAATTACTTAATAGATAGAAGAATGTTAAAAATTGCAAAACAAGTTACGCGACGTGTACAGAGTGAGAGTGTAAAAGAAACTCGTTTTTTCTTAATAATTAAATTTATCAAAATCGTTAACAAATTATTATCCATTAGCTGTATGGGCATAAAAGTTGAATCAAGATGCTGCATAGGCATTTTTACACGTACTTGCTGCTGGTATTGCAGAAAAACGCCAGAATTTCATCGGCACGAACCTCCACATTTCACCTCCACATTTGTGGATTTCATCCACAAATTGTTTAATAGATAGCAGTATCAGAATGTTATAAATGGCAAGACAAGTTGTCACTTCCGCAACATATATCCTTCTTTAGTATTTCATTCCATCATTCCGCGGTAAATCTTCACAAATTATCATTTCTTAAGACTTTGTGACTCGTTCTTGCAACGCCTTTTTTAACTCTACCGTTCTGCATTGGGAATAGTAAAAGTAACCGATGCTGGTGCGCAGAACAAGAATTAATGCGTGATTGAACATTTATCATCCTTTTTTACGGCTTTTAAAAAAAAGTTCAACGGTTTTTTGTAGAAAACAATTAATTTTTACAAGAAAATGTTCGAATTCGATATTATCCAAAGCTATAAAGTTTTAGTACATACATGTTGCATTGTCTGTCGGTTATAAATATAACTGAACGACAGAAAGACACATCTTGCTATATTTATAATACATTATAATTTTATAGTTTCTGGACATATATTTTGAAACGTTATTCATGGATTCTATCTGACCATAAATGTAGTGTCAAATGCGGTGGTATTTGTGATATGCGGTATAAATCACAATACAACATTGTCTTTAACAAAAAATATTGAATAACGTTATCGTTGTTTCCTCCTTGAAGGATTAATTTCCTGTGTGGCAAGACGAGTTTTTGTTTCTAAATGAATTTTAGAATAAATTACGTTATAATTAATATATTTATTATAGTGGTAATTTTGCAAAAAATTAATTTGCAATTAAAAATCCTGTAGATGTGATCGACGATCGACAAGTTTGAATATCTTCGAATGTTGGAATATCACAAAATCGATTAAATCCGAACTGCTCCATGAAAAAATTGTATTTCAACATTCGTGTGCGAGTATAAAATATATCTTTAGGATTTTCAGTGAAAGTATATTATTTGTAGCATTTACTAAACAGTCCTTCTTAGGCTCATGTTCATTACAGTACAGTTAAGGAAAAATCGTAAACAGAAATCTTCCAAGAAGACCCCTGCGCCACTTTCTTGGAATTAATCGCATTCGACACCCGAGGTAGAAAGACATTGACAGCAGCTTGCACTGCATACTGTGTTTTGCAGCTACGAAAGCGTGTTTCTTCGGTTCTTTTCTTGGAATTCTATTCCAACAAATATCGTAGGGACTGCATATAAAATCAAAATAAACGAACCACTACTATACAGGGTGGCCAAATAAATACTTCCGTTGCTATTTTCTCTGGAATGAAAAGAGACATTTTAGTTCTGTAAACGTAGTTTGGTAGACCTGCCCAATATCTTCATTCTTGTTCTATAACTGCTTTGCAAAACATTTGTCGATCCTGGAAACTTTTCAAAGTGAACATACCTTCACGTGTTCTTCTAGTAATATACACTTTTCTGAAAACTTAATAGATTTTGAAATATTTAAATTGATTTTCATATAATTTAACCAAAGAACATTATTTCGTCTTTAAGATCATCCTGTATATTAAATACACTGTTTGAAAGATATAAAGACATTCTTAAGGGATGCTCAAAAATAGAGACATATCACACATATCTTTATGAAATGCTATTTTATTGTTTTATTAACAATAAATGTTTGTATATTTAAATATTGAATTAAAGAAATTACCTATTTATTCAAAAAGACCTTAAGTAATAATCAAATTATAAGAAATATTCAACTGTTTTCCCATCATACCATCATAGGTATCTGCGTCCAATCAGCAATCGATTTTATTAAAGACAGACACTTTTTTAATTAAACAATGTAGACATTGAATTTAAAATAACTCGAAATCTATTAAGGTTTCAGAAATAATGTATACTAAAAAAAATTACAAGTGAAGATTTTTTCATGTGTACTTTTTAAAGTTTCAAACGTCGAGAAATGTTTTTTCACTTTTTCCATCAATTTATCGGTGTCGGTGATAACAATTTTAGTGCAAAATTGAAGATATTTGGCATGTATACTAAATCGTGTTCACAAAACTAAAGTATTTCTATTCGTTCCAGATGAAATGGCGTCGAGAGTTTTAATTGAATCACCTTGTACACAAGGTGACTATAACATGGAATAAACCATATTTTTTTAATTATCAGGTATTGATTTATCGATTTATTTCATGATCTTTAGCATTCATTTGATTGTATTGTGATTATTAGATGTGTGTCTGTTGAGTATGGATGAAGTGGAAACTGAAATGGATATTTCAAACGATAAAATAGCGACAGCCGCAGAATATGCAATATCGCAACTTATTTCTCAAAAATCTGCAAGATAATACGAAACAGCTTACAATTACTTCAAGAAGTGGCGTACTGAAATCAAAATTAAGAAAGATAGTGGTTGATATAAATAAACTAAGTACTCCGAGAGAAATCACTGCATATTTGAACTCAACGCATTCGAAAGACTATACGGGTTATTGTTTGACTCTCTTCTGTTACAATTTTAGCTGATTTTGGGGCAGGAATTGCTTCCATCAAAAGACGTGATTGAAAATCTACTTCAGTGCCAAAAACGTACATTGAAGATGGTGGTTGAAGTTTCTGATATTTAATAATCCATCGAAAAATAATTCCGCCATTCGAGCTTCAGAACATTCATTTACCAATTTTCAAAAATAAGTAGTCATATTATTTTTATACTATAAAATAAAAGTCTTTTTCATTCTAGTTAACTAAAGAGTCGTTTTAACGCATAGGAAATAGATTTAATTGCCAACATTTTATGAAGGTTTTCGAAAAATATATTTATTCATAAATATACATTTAGAACTTTAGTACTATAGTTTTAGAACTGTTAACGATTCATGAACTTTTCATAATTCGGATGCCCAAAGTCTTGTCTATATGTGGAAAATGTCAGAAATAGTACGTAAAACTGTATTCAATAAACTTTTAACTAATGATAATATAGAAATTACACCCTCAATATCTAGTAAACAGCTGAGATCATTCGCCAATAGCATCATTGTTTCGAACTTATTAGATCTCATCAGTATATCCTAGGTCAGACAACCGACAAACGAAATAGCAATTGTTTTCCTAACTTTCACCTAAATTCAATAAAATACAAATGTACTTACTTCGTCTTTGAGAATATTTTCGCAGCACCAATCAGAGTATAAGGAGATACTTTTTTTGGTTAATAAAACCATGTTATGTAATTTACTTTAAAATTCAAGTTAAGGGGGATGCTTTCGGGAATGTCTTACAAATATAAATGGGGATGTAATTTCAGTTATCAATTTTCAAAAATAAGTAGCCATATTATTGTTATACTATAGAATAAAAGTCTGTTTCATTCTAGTTAACTTAAATTTCGTTTTAATACCTAGGAAACAGATTTAACTGTCAACATTTTATTAAGGTTTCCGAAAAATATATTTATTCATACATTTAGAACTTTAATAGGTACTATAGTTTTAGAACTGTTAACGATTCATGAACTTTTCATAATTCGGATGCCCAAAGTCTTGTCTATAAGTGGAAAATGTAAAAATAGTACGTAAAACTGAATTCAATAAACTTTTTAACTAATGATAATATAGGAATTACACCCCCAATATCTAGTAAACGGCTGGGATTATTCGCCAGTAGCATAATTGTTTCGAACTTATTAGATCTCATCAGTATATCCTAGGTGAGACAACCGACAAACGAAATAGCAATTGTTTTCCTAACTTTCACCTAAATTCAATAAAATACAAATGTAACATTGCTTACTTCGTCTTTGAGAATATTTTCGCAGCACTTATCGGAGTTTAAGGAGACACTTTTTTTGTTTAATACAACCATGCTATATAATTTACTTTAAAATTCGAGTTAAGAGGGATGCTTTCAGGAATGCCTTACAAATATAAATGGGGATGTAATAAATTAAAAAAAGAAACGGTGGATGCCACCGCAGTACTCACCGCGCTCCTCCCGGGGGCCTGCCAGCAACGGGCCTCGCACCTGGCAACGAAGAGGCCCTCATACTGGCCGTACCTCAGCCGGAGCTTGCCCAGCGCCCCCAGGACCCCGAACGCCGCCGCCACCAGCACCACCCTGGCGCCCACTACCATCACTGCGGAGGACGCCGTCATCTCAATCGGTCTCGCGCCACCACAGCACTGGCTCTCGCGCCGACCGCCGATCATCTAGCCGCTGCAGCCGGCCCCGTGCACCATCTCGACGGCTTACCTACTTTCATCACCTATATTAACGGGAAAAACTAGCAGAGCGATCTTCGGGAGGATCCTGTTTTTGCACGGCCCGAATTAGAGGCGGTGGAGTCGATGGGAGCGCAAGAGGTACGGTGGTAGTACGGGGGGTGGACGTCGAAATCTGGGCTTCCCGGGTCATCTCTCGGGCTTTCGACATTTCGGACAGTTTCGGACATTTCTTCATTTTAGAGATCTGAGTTAACAAATTAAATTTTATTTGCTGTAAAACAATACTACCTACACAGGGTGTTTTCAAAAGAAGTAAAACAAATGGTACCGCTAAATCTACAACTAAAAAGAACATATTTTGTATGAAAATGACCTTAGTAAGATGTTCACAGCTTATTGAATATTCAAAAATACGTATCAGATAGCCCGGTTTTTTTTAACTTACCTCTCTCACGTTTTTGCTTTAAAACTAACCGCTTATTAACAAAAAAATTCAATTCACTATCATTCGCATTACATCTCGCACGATTACAACTAAGAAATATTTAAGTAGGCGGCTGTCATCTTAGTAGATAGATCTTTTGTGTCTTTTGCGAGTGCTTCCTTGAATTTACCGCTTAATAATTTTATTTATTACGATAACTTAGGCAGAATTATGACAAAATAATTTTTTAATGGTGAATATGCTGCTACTTATAAAAAAACATACTGTATAAGTGAGAACGTACAATTATAATTTCACATCAAAATTAACACACTAATTACATAGTTAATTGTCTCCTGAATAATTAACCCAATTTTTAAACACATTGTATGGTGCCATAGTTAGGTTAGGTTAGCGAATGCCTACAAATCAAATTATAATCTCATTTTTCTGAACAGCTTGTTTTTCGCGTCATTATTAGCGGAAATATTATTCGGATATGCACATAAATTCATTACCTACAGAACAATTTCATGTCATCGACAATCATCATTCGATTACAAATCATTGACGAATATTAAAAGGAGTAGAGACCTCACATTGGATCCTTGAGGGACGCCACTACTTGCAATATAAATATGATAGATATAACATATTAACAATAAGAATATCATGCCATGACAATATGGGTTGATCAATTGCTACCTGTCTTTCTTGACAATAATGGAAACGTGCTTAGATAGGCCACGAAATATGGAGTTGGACGCGACTTTTTGTTTCGGCAAGCTGAATTTATCACTATAGATGCTAAATATTATGTACAATAACATATTAGTTTCCACAGTCATAAAAATGGGGGGAAGATTGTTTACAGGGTGGTTAATTGTATAATGTTTACGTAAATTCACGTTTTTCGCTTATAACTTTTTCCGTTCATTTCCACGAGAAAACTTTTGACTTAAACATTTATAAACTGCGTTATTATTACCAGAACTTTTTGGCATCGCATTCTCTCATTCCTTATCACTGTCTAATAACTCACACGAAATCTGGAATCGGTAAGTTGAATAGTTTACAAGTCTTATAAACAAATTAACTAATTATTAGTCCGGACGATCCCGAGGATCTTTCACAATCACACTGATTTTTTTCCTGGTAGATTTCAAATAATAATACATTGAAATCTATCATTTTTTTTTTTAATTTCAAATTTTCAACGTGGAATTTTTTTATTGTTTAGCTTTAGTTGGAAAATGAAGTATATAACGCACGAGCGTGATATAGTTATATGTTATATACATATTCGGAAAACTTATGAAAAGAGCTTTAAGTTAAAAAAAAAAATCGTCAAGATTCGTTGAAAAACAACGGATTTACAGACTGTCAAATATATTATTTTCAAGCGAATTTCGCTTATTTAACGGCAGGACTATCAATATTATCGTCATTTTCTTCGGACTCGCTGTCGTTCGCTTTCCCCACCCTTCCGCCGCGGCACGGCTCGCCGAAAATCAAGGGACCCACTGACTTTTGACAATATTTTTTAACATCGTTACAGACAGTAAACCTATAATTAAAAAAATAGAATAGCTATTAGCGAGAAAATAAATTTTTTTAGTGGTATACGTTAATTTTGTGGCAAAATGTTTTTCCTGGGCTACTACAATCAAAATTGCAATGTAATTTAATTTCTAGATTAAAGTTTAATATAAACAATATTTAAAGAAGTCAAATAAAATTAAATTAACACCCTGTAGATGAGACTCCATATAGCACATTGTAACACATCAATAACGCGAAAACATCTTTTAAAGATCTAAGAGTTCGTATTACCATAATGACATCTAATTACACTATTGTTTTATTTAAGTATGGGTTCATAGACGGATATTCTCCGTGTTTAACAGCAATAATCATTATGTTCTTAACCTCATTTTAATAAAGAGAATTTCCGCATGGTCCAAATGCGTATGCGGGACAACCCTACAATGAATATTTATATCAGCCAAATAAGGGAATGCGATATAAATAGTAATAAACTGGCGATGAATAATTATTCATCATAAAACAATGCACTGACTTCGAGGCAGAAAATAGAAAACCAAATATATTTATAGAATCCGAATGTTACAGTTTTAGGGTTTATACATCGAAAACAACAATGATATATTTGTTTAACATCAAATTAGATTTATGTCGCTTGTTCACTAATGTTCTCAATTAATAGTAAGAAATTTGGCAGAGGTTACTTAGCTAGTTAGTGTTAAAATTATATAAATCACGCAATGGGTAAAAATTCTCTCTTGGCAATCTTGTTCTTGAAACGTCTTCATCTTCAACCGTGATTTCAGAACGGCCTTCGCATCTAAATGCAAATTTTGCGCCTGGACTTCCTACCACCTACCTTTGTTCTACTTTCGTTCATTTTTCTTGTATCCCATTATGCTAATTAACTATGAAACTACGGAGGGTAAAAAAGCCGATATACGGGCCTATATTTGATATACCTACCTTGGTTTTCCTGTCGGGGGGAAGACTGGTTTTAAATTAATTACATTCCACCGACTTTTCGCACTTCTCTCTACTCAAAGAGAACACCTCACGACCCTGATAATATTTCATACAAGATCTTTAGTTACCAGTTTTTACAAAGAAACTACGGTCAAAACAGAAAACTTTCAGGCAGTTCCTTTGACGTGAAACGACAAAATTTAAAACCTCTTTGGAGTCGAACTCCCTAGCTAATCGCGCGGAATCTACAAATGTCTAACCTTGGCAGTGCTGCGGCTGCTTTTCCAAATAAATTTGCATGTAAACAAACAACAAATTACAGATTACAGCCGGTGCGGTGCTGCATAATTTTACCATAAATAGTGTAGCCGTAATATATTCGCACCTAATAAACACAAAACGCCTCATATTACCGTTTCCAGTTTTATGCAGAACAGATCATTTCTCAGGTAAAAATGATGGATAAATACCCTTGGGCGGACAAAGAGGAATAGGAATAAATTAATTTTATATGAAATATACTAAGTTGGAGGATAAAACCATCAGCCGCAAGCTGCTCCTTATTAGTGCTTGCTTTCTTAGGCGCGAATACATCATACGTGATGTTTAATTTTACGTATTTATTGTCGTATTCCAAGTTCCGAGCGGATTCTTAATTTTCGCTCAACTTTCCAAGACCACGAGAAACAGAAGACACAGCGGGGAAAATAACATTTTATATAAGTACATTGCATTGTAAATATGATGCTCTGCAGAAATAGAAAATTCACCTCAGTTTCGGTTTTCAGAAAATAAAAACTGAAAATTGCGAAATCCAATCTGGGGAATTGCAGTACAAAATAACTGTATCGGGTCAGGCTACAAGTCCATCACCAGGCGACTAGGCCTCCAAAGAGGCCAATCGTCCAAACTTAAGGCGAACTTCGCTATAAGAGCTTTGCGCACCCATCAAGGACTGGGATCGAACGTCAACCCTGGTACTTTGCAGTTCAATAACCAGAACTGGAACCAGATCAATGCGTGTAGTATAACTCCCAGGCATAAAATAACCACCCAGGCATAAAATAAGTTCCTAAGCTTCCAAATTCATAGGAGATCTACACAAGCTTCCAGTTTTTCAGGTACTCACAGGAGACCTAGGCAAGTGCTAGGCAAGGTAAGTCTTCTAGGGTGCAAAATGTGTAGTTTGTTTTTGGACCATCTGCTAGAGGTCGCTAGTGACATTTTATGACATTATCTTTGAGACTAAATGTTTACGATTGATGTATACAGGGTGTTAATGAATTTATGTCAAAAATTTAAAGGGGTATAAAACTGAGTTAACTGATGTCACAAACTTGTATCGTAAATTTAAGGTCATAGAGAAAAAAGCTAATTAAAAATGTGTTTAAAACTGTTTTGGAACTGCTGAAATACATGTATTTAATCGCGGTGAGTACCTACAAAAAAATCTGTAACACTTTTTACAAGTTTGTAGGTTTCTTATGAATCCAGACTGTATTTGAGAGTCAGTTTATAATACATTGTTGTAGTGATTGCTGTGCTGTTTTTTCGAGATTACATTTAATAGCCGCATTTCCAAGTTTTCATTTGAAAATAGCACATTTATTTAGCAATCGCAAATATTATGATATGCTCATAATTTATGGTGAAGCAAAAGAAAATGCCCACAGAGCTTGTCAAGATATCCTGAACGACGTGCCCCAGCACAGCGAACATTTGTTGCTATAGCGCAAAGAGTTTTGGACAGCGGTGAAGTACAACCGCGTCGAGGTCGCGACGGTGGCCAGGGCGACCTGGCAACCTTAAATGTCGAGGAGATTATTTTAGATCTCGTCGAAGAAGATCCGCATCGTAGCACCAGAAATATCGCACAGCAAGTAAATATTTCGCATCCTGTTGTGTGGCGGAGATTACGAGAAGTTCAGTTGTACCCATTTCATATTCAACGTGTTCAAGCGCTTACTCCTGAGGATTTTCCAACACGTCGAGGTTTTTGCGAATGGTTGCTTCAGGAACATGCAAGAAATCCTTAATTTACAGCGCAAATGCTTGTTACAGATGAAGCAGGTTTCAGTCAAAATGGTGTACATAA